TCTCAAAACAGCCCCAATATTTATACACAATTACATGATATATAGAACACAAAATGATGAGTTTCAATTCCCTAAAGCTTCCAATAAGCAAAACATAATATCACAATTAAGAAGCAAACTCAACTGATGCAATAAATTACTTCAAACAAACAAGGTACTCTATCACAAAAGCCTCATCATCCATGAATTCTCTTTCCCTGAAAAAGAATAGATAGACAAATCATCAAAATCAGAACAAAATATATGTACGACTCGACCACCTCGAACACTAATATCTAGTGCTGTATAACGAACATAGAATTATGCAATCTTACTTTTCCTTTAGTTCTGCGAACTCTGGATCCTTTAGATTTGCGACGTGCCATGCTGGTTTGATGATGTATTTTAGGCCTCTCACCGGATCTATTCGGCGGTGGAATATAGGTGTGAGTCTCTGGACCTCTATAATCAATTTCATAAATCTCTGAATCCACAGCATTCAAATTCAACTTCCCTACAATGCCACAAGTTCTTACAAGATAAAATTAGCTAAAACTGAATGAGTAGTGGTGCAGTCTCAAGCTCGAAAGTTAAGGTCCTACGACAAAAATCTTAAGGCCATAAAGATCACGAAGTACTCAATGGGACTTAATGAGTAAAAGTTTCATCGAAAAAGCTTAAAGAGCATTGGCATCAAAGGTTATGGCTGCCCAATAGGGGGCTGGCCATGTCATCAAGGAACAAGCCAAACCCGAGAGTGGAAGGGAGGGTATTAGAAGTTAGGTTGGAAGACGAAAAATTATTCATGTAGTCGATTGACTCAAAATTTTCAAGAAAAATGCTTGCTTTGTTATTGTTGTTGTAGTAAGTGAAAGATATATGAACAAACCTCTTGAAAAGCACGGTGTGACATCGAGGATGAGAAAGAAGACGAGGAGAGTGGCAATGAAACTAGGCTTGAGCTCCATGGCATGCAACCCCAAAATGAAGATGAAAAAAAGAAATGTTCTTTTCTTTGTGTGTGTATGGAAAGGGACATGCAGTCAGCACTCAGCAGGAAGAAGCATTGCATATCAGTTAAGGTAATGCACAAATTTTGGCAAATGAAACCGTCACAGTCTGCACAGCAATTGATTGCAAGGACCCAATTAAGATGTGTTGGGTTGGAACATTTATATAGAGGAACTAGATCTTGGAAATAACTGCGTTTGGATAGGAGGAAAACAAAAGAAAGGAAAAACGTTGCTTTGCATGTATAAATTACCCTCGGGAATATGGACTATATGTCAAGAATTAGAAACCCTACTCCAGTAATTCATTATGAAGAAAATAAGTATACAAGAGAAAATCGCGCACCTATCTTCGTTAACATATTTCTTTTGATAGTTATACAAAATCTAATGACGACTTCCTATTTATAAGACAAATCAGGACAAAATCGAATTTACAAGCGTGAAATCCCAAAACTGCCTTACTTATAAAGTATCGGGTCGATTCGCGTACTAACTCCACACAACGACAACAATTATACTCAAAATAACTTGACATTATACCGTTAAATTATATCTAGTCACGCATTATATGATTTTGAATTTTGTACACTATAATTTCAACTTAAACTGCCCTTTCTCTCTGCTATTCCGAATCCCAAACAAGGTTATTGATAAAGAAGTTATTTTCCTTGTGGCCTGGACAGTGGACAGTCCCATGTGTGTATTATTGAAATGTCTTAGAAGATACATCCCGTTTGGCAGACCAATTCTTTCATCAAACTTGTGGAATAATATAAAATTACACACCAAATTATGCAATAATATTTAAATTTGCATAATATTCATGGAATTTAGTGAATATGGGCACCCCTTTTGCCCTCTGCAGGCTCGGACCAGACTGGCAATGCACGTTCAATATACTACACTATTGTAGTTGGAAAATTTAATGCACTGCGCCATATCATTGCCATGAGCCCGCCATAGATGAAATTATTAGTCGGTGAACAATATTATGGGAGATAGTGCATAGTTTTTATTCTGAATTGAACGAAAGTGCAGAAGAGAAATGCCGATCTCTAATCATGTTGCTTATACGTTGACATGAGGAGGTGATCTGAATTAACTATTGCCTATCGATATTGAGCGAAGAACTCTAATATTTTTTTACTTTTACAAAATTGGCATATGCATATTACCATGCT